GCGGTGCCCCTTGCCCGCCAGGCTGAGGGGGCTTTCCCCAGCCCAAAGCTGCCCAGCCCGCCGGAGCTCTGTACGCGGGCGGCTATAAATGTGGAGGGAGAAGAGTAATAAAGGGCTAAAATGCGGCTTTTCTATGGACACAGTTACAGCTGGCTCTGCGCATCCCCTACCAAATGTCTCTGCACGGTGCATCCTTTCGCTGCTGTGGGGGAGCAGTGCTTGGCCAGGCCTCCTGGCCAAAAAAAAGTAGAAGGGAAAAAAAGGATTGCAGCAGGGAGAGCGATCTCTCTTCCAGGGGGTGCTGCCATGCACGGACAGTCTTTCTGGCTTGCAGGAGCACGAGTGTGTGGCAGGGGGGAATCACTGCTTCAGTGTTTCTGCTTTGGTTTGCATATAACCTTTATTGCAGGTTTATCGCGAAACCAGGAGGGCAGAGTTAATTGTAGGGCTGCTCACAGATTTTCTGCTGAAACGCTTCCTTTTTGGTAAAAGGTTATTCTCTTTGCAAAATCTATGTAAAATTGGAAATCCCAAAACACTGTTTTTCTTCTTTTTTATTTTTTTTTCCCCGGTAAGCTTAGACCATACTGGAGAAAAAAACAAATACAAAACCTTGAAAGCAGCAAGTTAGTGCAAAGACTCATTCATTGTAATGTTCTTTTTTTTCTTCATGAATCTCCAAGATTGTGAAGAACTTGGATGAAACTTAGAAGCCCTGTACTTTCCTCCCTACATTACATTGAGTCAAAGGAGTCACTCAAGGTCATTTTTTTTGACAAATGCTTTGTCTCGAATAGCAAAGCAGTCAATAGTACGAGTTCTCACACCCTGCCTTGGGTTGAATACTGCCTGTAACTCAGGGGGAGTTGTAAAATAATATTTGGTTTGTCTATAACATTTTAGCTCTCAATCTTCATCTCAATTCCCTCAGAGCAGAAGCAATCGTACTTCATGTATATGACTTCACAGCTGAATAATGTAACACCTGGTTTTACTGCAGCTGTAAAATAGGAGGTTTTTGAGACAGACGTGGTGGATTCCCCGGGAATCCCGCGAGCTCCAGTGCAAGCGGCGGTAGTGTGACGATGCCGTGGGAGTGGGAGCAGGAGGAGGGTCCTCCCCAGCGCTGCAGCAGCAGTGACAGCTTGTGGCACCCAGGCAGCACCCCACCCGTTTTTAACCTTTCTTCCCCATCATTTTCTTCCCCCCATCTGTAATTCATGCCCGTTTCTCTGGACTTTGCTGTGTCCCTCAAGTACCGCGTTGTCTTTAACTCTCCTTTTCCATCACTATTCCGTCTATTAAGATGTCCATTAAATAGGATTTTTTTTTCAAAATAATAGTTCACCCTGCTTCGTCATCCTCTCCTGTGCATTGGTAGGGGGGGGTTTGGCTGGTTGGTTCAGACCGAGATTTCGGGGCAGGTACCGCTGGGTATTCCATGGAAAGCATCCGTGGAGAAGTGCCACGTAAAGCCAAAACACTTCGGACAATAGCGGTGGCAGCTGAAGTCCTAAACAGAGGAGCCAGAGCTTTTTCAACCAGCCCTTTAGAGGACTTCCCCGAACCATCAGCCTTCACAACGAAGCCTGGCGCGTGCAATTCCTGATTGCGTTTCACTGGGTCTGACCCGGGGCCACCGTTTTCCTCTGTCCCAAAGCCAAAGCCAAGCCGGGTCGGGGGGGGGTGTCTCGGTGTCCCCAGAGTGATGTCACCCAGAAATGGGCCAGCCTTCGCCTCCCCCATGGCTATAACGATACTGTAGGGGTGTGGGATGTCTGATGGAAGCAGTTCCCGCCCCAGAGCTGCTCCTTGCCCTGCTTACGGGTGTTATTTGGTGCTTTGCTTGTTTTTTTGTCTTTTTATGGAAAAGTAGACTTCCCTCTAAAGAAAGAACAAACAAAACCCTGCAGGCAGGATATTTATGCAGATGTGCTCTAGATGTTTCTTGGCTCTGATGTCGTTATCTAAAACTGCATGGTGTATGCTAGGATGGGGTAGCAGAGGCAGGTGTGATAAATCTGAATTTTCACACACAAAAATTTAAGCACATTTCTTAGCCGAAACTTCAGGGCAGTGAAAGACACGATTGTTTGTTTGGGATTAGATCTCCTTCAAATCCAGCCACCATTCAGGGAAAATTTTAAAAATAGAAACCAAATCCTAAGCAAGGCATGTAATCCGGTTTTGCTCTGTCTGCTGCCGTTTGCTTTTATGCTCCCAACCGCTTCCCACCCCCGTGTCCGGGGGGGGTTGGCCATAGCTGCACCCCTTTCACCCTCGCCGGGGGCTTCCCCGTGCCCCGGGGGTCGCGCGCCGGGGGGCCGGCGGGCGCCCCCCCCCCCCCCCGTGGCTGCCAGTGCCGGACATTTTACCGGGGGCACGGGACTGGGTTTCTCTGGGAGCCGCTGGTGTCACTTGTAGGAGCTCTGACAGTCCGGAGGTGACGGCTGTGCTGGTCCCTCTCCAACGGGGCTTCTACCCCCCCTCCAATTACATACGTAGCGCAGCAGGTCTGAATAGCGAGGGGAATGGAAACAGAGTTAGGGGAGAAGTTAGAGGAAAGATGACGCTTCTTCCTGCAAGCGTAATCGTGCTCCCATTAAAAAAAACATTCCCATTTCAAGTCAATATTGCTCAATATGGGAAATTTCACATCAGCTCAAAACGTCGGGAATGATGGAAATGCATCTCGAGTAGTGATTTGATGGGTTTTGGCTGTGTGTGATGAATACAACAGTTTGTAAAACTTCTTTTTAAAACCTGAGTAGCAAATAATGGAAAATTCTGTAATAAAATTAATGACCAGGAAGGGCTGTAACGTTCTGTTCCTGCCTATTCGTAACACGGGGAGAAGAAATGAAAGCCGGAGAGGGAGCGCTTGGGCAGGGCTGTGCCGATTACAGTGCTCCTTACGGACTAGGGACGCGAAGCGTAGCTTGCAGCGAGGCGCACGAGCCGGAGTGCTGAATTCGAGGTTTCAGCTCTAGGCGTGATTTTATGGGCTTGTCGTGTAGCTGTTCAATTGTGGTTTGTGGTGTCTTAGTGGGCAGCTCTGACTAAAGCAGTAACAGCATCCCCTTCTCCAGGCTTCTTTTGTCAAAAGGACAGTGATCTAGAAACCTCCCTGGAGGACTGTGGCCCCAGCTGGTTTGGGGCTGATGTAGGTTGTTAGCCAGCGCTGGGGAACTCTCTCTTGTGGGTAAGTTGGTAATTAATCTAACTGCTGCCACTTTCTGCAAGGGGCTTCTGTTTGTGGAGGGACCCTGGAGATGGTTGTGAGCCTTTGCCCGGGGTCACTGTGTCGCAGCAGGGATTTTGTGAGGTCTTGAGTGGCTTCTGCTTGCCAGAGCCTCAAGGTGTGCCGGCTTCATCTTCTCCTCCTGGTGGGTGATGCTGCGGGTCAGTGGCAGAGCCGTCATTCGTGTCGGTGGCCAGTGTCCTTCCAGGGCTCCTATGCTGGTGAGCTGCAGTTGCAGCAAGATGCGTGTTAGAAATAATTCATCCCTGCTCTCCACAGCCAGCGCTGGGTTTCCACCCGTTTCGCGGCCACGTGGCTGGACTGGGGTTTGCCTCGTGTGAGGGGTGGTGCAGAGCGCTGGCGGGGATGCGGGATGCTGTCGGGGTGCCTCCTTGATGGCTGCTCCAGCAGTGATGTCTCTTTCTCTGTCTCTCCCCTCGCTGCCTGTCCAGTCCCGCCAGACCCCGGAGGGCGAATTCCTCCCGCTCGATCAGCTGGAGCTGGACGTGGGCTTCAGCACGGGGGCCGACCAGCTTTTCCTCGTGTCCCCACTCACCATCTGCCATGTGATAGATGCCAAGAGCCCCTTCTACGACCTCTCCCAGCGCAGCATGCAAACGGAGCAGTTTGAGATTGTCGTCATCCTGGAGGGCATCGTGGAAACAACGGGTGAGTAGAGAAAGCAAATGCTCCGCGAAGCAGATGTCACCCGGCAGGTCTTGCCATCCGTGTTCGAAAATTGGGTGCTTCAGATTGCCCTTTAATCCCATGACGCGGTCACATTTTGCAAACGCTTCCAGATGGCCAAAGTCATATTTTCCTACAAAGTGAACGCTGGAGTGATTTTTGGCAATGTGTCTGTTACCCAGGTCGTGTGCGTCGGCGCTCCCGTCGAGGCCGAGAAACTTGCGTCCCGGTGGCTCGGCGGGGCGGTGCGGGGATGCTGTGGCGGGGTCGGGCGTGCTGTGCTCCCTGCAGCATTGCCCGGCAGCGATGCTCCGGCCCGGGCTGGGGGTAGATGCTCCCGCAGCCAGCGAGCGCCTTGCTTCTCTTCCCAGGCTGCTGCCTGCCGCAGGGCAGCGCTTAGGGGGGATATTCAGAATATCTTTGATCGTTTTTCGGTCCGTATGCTGGTGTCCCAGCGTTTCTGTGCTGGGCTGCTTTTCTAGCACAGGAGGCAGCCTCCGAGCACCTCAGGCTGCAGTATTCTCGTAGCTCAGCCTGGTGCCCGGGGAGGCTGGGGGCAGCAGGGGGGG